TACTATAATATTGTCATAGATTGGTCAGGTGAAGGTCACCGACACGGTGTCAGATGATTACTAAAGTTAGGGTGTTAGATAACATATATATGTCTATGTAAACACATGTATTTGGGGTTTGATCAATCCAAACTTAGTTGGTGAAAAGGGCCCCTGCTATGTAAATATTTCATTATAATAAGCAATCTTAATTGAACAACCATAATGCGCCGTAAAGGTGGGGTAATGCACTTAAGTTGCATAGTGAAAAAAGGTAGAATAAAATTGTACTCAAAGTACAAAAGGGGAATCCGGGGCTGCCATACTTCTAAAAACATGGCCCACCGGATATCCATATGAAATAACCAATGGAGTAACAGGTATCAGTAAAGTCATCTCTCCTCGAAGAAACAGGTTAATCCTAAACTGGTATTTAGACCCCTAGGACTAAGCGTCTAAAGCGTGTAAATCCAGTAGGCTTCTCTCTGTAACAGGTATCTGGATCTGTCGCCCCCTCTGGGTTGCATGTATACATGCTCAATGTTCATACCCCTGAGTTCATGCGTTTGATGTTTGTATTCCGCAAAGTGAATCGCAATGGGTTTATTGGCGTCAGGCTCTTCACCTTTACTTAATTTATCAATGGCAATCCGTATGTCGCTCCGGTGTTTTTGGAAACGTCTTCTAAAGGGGCCCACAGTTTTGCCAACATAAACCCGTGCACAGGGACATTTAAGTAAGTACACGCAGAACTCAGTGTCACAAGTCAAGAACCTCCGTATGGAATACTTTTTCCCATTATAGGGGTGTGGAAATGAGTCACCACAGATTAAAGCATTGCACATATTACAGTGATGTCATTTGTAGCAGCCAGTTTTTGTGGTAAAAGAAAAAGGTTTTTTTAGAGTATTTTGACCTTGGATCAGCCTGAACAAGCATGTCCCGTAGTGATCGACTGAGTTTATAAACGCTTAACGGTCTGTCCTTAAGAATCTGTGTAAGCGCTCTGTCAGCCTGAAGAATATTCATGTTGTCAATAGAGACTCTATGAATAGTCTTGGATGAGTCTGAGAATGTTTGCAAAAAAGGAATTCGTTCTTGGGTGTTACGTGGGTTGCTCGTACCATGGAATTTCTCACGGGCCTTCATTAGTGCCACATCGGGAATAGCAGTGGGATAACCACTTTGACAAAATGTATTGTACATTGTGTCAATCTGTAATTTACAGACAGTGGTATCTGAGCATATACGTAAGACCCTTAGAAATTGCAAAATGGGGAGATTGTCCAGAAGATCCCGGGGGTGGGCACTCTTATAGTGAAATATTGTGTTCCTATCTGTTGGTTTAGTATACACTGATGTAGTGAGTTCATTGTTAGTGACAGTGATCAAAACGTCAAGAAATTACATTTCAGATAATGAGTCAACAGGGTTGAAAACAATGCCTGGAAACAGTCCGTTCAAGAAGGACACACTCAATGAGTGGGCATTCATTACCATCACAAATCATGAATACATCATCGATAAACCTTACCCATGTTATCACCTGTTTAAAGAATTGGGACTTATAGACATGGTGTTCTTCGAGGAAACCTATGAAGAGGTTTGCAAACGAAGGCGCTGCTGAACTCCACATAGCGGTTACCCGAATTTGTTTATACACTTTATTTTCAAACGTGAACATGTTGTTATTTAATACAAGCTCGAGGCAGCAGAGAATAAATGCAGAGGGAACATCTCGGTCTCTATCCCCAGTCAGAAAGTACTCAGTTGCTGCTAAACCTGCATCATTTGGTATTCATGTGTATAGGCACGAGATGTCCATTGTTACAAGTCTCCAATCACCTCTGAAAGATTTAAAGCATGTCAATTTAGATAGAAAGTCATCAGTATCTTTGATGAAGGCTGGTAGTTTTCTCACTAGGGGTTGAAGATAATAATCAACGTATTGTGCTATAGGCTGAGTACAAGATCATGTACCAGAAACTATGGGACGAAATGATAACGGACTAAGACCCTTGTGGATTTTGGGTAAACCATAGAGTACGGGATTGCGTTCATAATCATCATTCTGCATATTAATGAGAATGGAGTTTTTTCTTCTGCTTTTCTCCTTATTAAATATTAAAGTTAAAGGAGAACTATGGGGTCAGGGCTTTTCATCATAGTTCTCCTTAGGGTAACTCAGCAAGGAGCTGAACTCCCGTCCTCCTCCTCCTGACGCCCTCGGAGCCGGTCCCGGGATCCAAGATGGGGCAGCGGATCCCGGGAATCAAGGTGAGGGGTCAGGGTGGGAAAAAAAAACGAGCGAAGAGCACATATAGGCGATCGGCGGGCTATGGACCCGCTGATCGCCTATATGTGACACACCCGGTAACGGGTGTGTGCAACGGTCGGGTCTTTTCTGCCCAAGCATGCCCGCTAGGGGGCGTGCGCGAGCAGAAAAAAATTGCCGTCTGGAGACGGCAACCCGGAGATGTAGCAGTGCCGTCCGTCCGTTTTTTTACTACGGGCGGACGGCAAGAGGTTAATGACTCCATGATGGCGGCTTGGATTTAATGCATATTTCCGTTTCTTTGTGCTATAGAATAAGCTCACGATCCTACAATGAGCTTTAAACTATTGAGCACAGACCGGCGTTCAGCTCTTATTGATTCTGGAGGAGGCTGTACCTGTCAGAAATTCTGACCAACCGCTGATGACCCACGGCGCATGCACAGTAGCACGGCCCACTTACATAGTGTATAGAGCTGACGGCTCTCTCTCTCTCACTGCGGACAAGCGTTACGGTCTCCATGATATTGTTGTTGCTACGTATAAACATAATTATTTTGATATCGCCAGTGCATAACCGAGCGGCCTATGGATAACAACGTTGCCCTTACATTTTCCATACTAATATATACTCTGATCTCTGATATGCAATAAGATTCTTGTATTGCTCCTATTTGCAGCTCCTGTATCTCCTGTATTTACTTTTTTTTAATGTACTTGGTGGGAAGATGACGTCACTGAGACGCCGAGGGGTGGGTTTTTGGATGATTATCAGTTTCACTGTGTGTATATATAGGTGGTGGTTTTTAATTGTAAGCATGTTTATTTTAAGCCTGATGAAGGGGACCCTGTGCGGCCCCAAAAGCGCTTGTAATGATTGACATCAATAAATGGATTTTCACTGACGTTTAAGTCGTTGTCGTGCTGGAGACATTCCTATACTTGATCAGCATGTTACTAAGCCCCAAGTCCAGTGCTAAGTGCATAGTCCAATTCATATCATGTTCTGCATTATTATATTATGTAAGCAATACATTATAATTTATTGCTGGAATTTGTAGTCCCGCTACAGCTGGTGCCATTCTGCATTAGAGTGTAAGCTACTCTGTACAGAGACTGATGTGACTGGCTCAGTGTTCTCTGTACAGCATTGTGGTATATGTCAGTGCTATATAAATGTATAATAATAACTAGGAATGCACCGATACCGAGTATTTGGGCGAGTACTCTCCCAAGTGCTCCAATGCCAAGCCCGATAATTAGCTTCAGACATCAGGAAGTCGGGCAGCGAGTCACTACACACTGCCCAGCTTCCTGTTTGACTGGAAAGCTAGCTCCATGCTTTCTCATCACTTGTTGACAAGAAGCACAGAGACGGCTTCCCTGCTAATCGGGAAGCCCAGTGAAGAGTCATTACACGCCGCCCGGCTTCCTTAATGAGACTTCTGGGATTGGGTATCGGCGAGTACCGAAAACAAAAATATTGGTACTCGATAACGAAAAACCAGTATCGGCGCATCCCTAATAATAACAGTGTGTGACTGGGGGGACATTAGAGTGTAAGCTCCTCTGTCAGAGACTGATGTGAATTGGCTCAGTGTGGCGGCGGTGGGTGGAGGCGGTGAGGGGGGCCCCAGCCTAAAGCCGTGTACTGGACCCCAAAAATTCTTATGGCTGCTCTGACCATAGATATAGCATGATGAATAAGTGTTGTCACCCTACAACAGGAAGTGTGCTACTGGCAGGGTCACCAGGTGAAAATAAATGAAAAAAGCCTAAAAACTGAAAACTAATGTAGCCACCATATCTAAGAACTGGTAAGCTGCAATTTTTCATGGGGTCTCTTCATGGGATTAGATACCCTTCAATGCAGTCAAAACAGAGATTACATTTCAGTTTATGATTAAAGAAAGATTCTTGCTCTTAGGTTTATCACATGACACTGTAGTTCACGATCATTTACTGTATTATAAAATTGGAAAAATAAGGTTGGAAATCTTTAAAAGCAAAAAAAAAGCAATAAGAATACAACAACAGATTTGAGATCTACATGCAGTTTATTGAAGATATAAAGAAAAGACAAGAAATGCAAGCCTGGGATTGGGTAATCCAGTAACGCATCATAAAGGATTTTATATACAACAAACACCTGGAATCGTTGTCATCCATTACTTCCCAAAAAACACAGAAGAAGGGATGCCTAGGACTGACTACAGTGCAAATACAGTGCAGTTACATTCATACATGATACCCTTGCACATGCTGTTTGGTTTCATATTCTGCTTTATATATGCTGTAGTGCAGTTTTCTTTTCATATTTGAGACTATGTTCTTGATCCCTTTTTAGTCGATGACCCTAATAAATGGGAATTTTTAAACTGATCATACACAGTAATATTCTGATTTAACCAGATTTTACCAGCACCTGTGCAATATGAGAGCCATCCTACTGGATTTAACTAAATGGGCTGTTTAGGAACACTCCATCTAATAGGTTTGTTGGCAAAGTTTGTGTAATTAGCCAATCAAAATCTTATTGCATAAAACCAGTTTATGGGTTGTTGTAATAGGGAAGCATAGATGGTTTAAATTATAGTCAGCCATAAATCTAAGAACAAAAAAGGAAAGGACCAGATTGATACAACTGAAGATAACTAGTGAAGCTTCTTCCATTTGAGCACACTGACAAAGGTATAGTGAGGTTTGGCTTGGAAGGGTGGAAATTAGTGCTATGACAGTGGTGCATCTTAATAGGATTGCTTGACTGAGGATGTTACTGTTTTTGACACAGCTACCGAGGATTTTGTAGATGATTGGTTGTAATTGCCAGATCCTTGGCCTCCACCGACATAGCAATTTCCTCCTCCAACACCATATCCGCTTCCTCCTCCACCATATCCGCTTCCTCCTCCAACACCATAGCCGCTTCCTCCTCCAACACCGCCTCCAACACCAAATCCAACACCAAATCCGCTTCCTCCTCCAACACCATATCCACTTCCTCCTCCAACACCATATCCACTTCCAAATCCACTTCCTCCGGCAGAAGAACCTCCACCAACTACAGCTGGAAATAAAAATAAGAGTTTTATTTTCTCTTCCATTAAACAATATTAAAAGAAATGCTGTAGTCACAGAATAATTCTATACTTACAGACGCTCACATTGCTGACTACTTGTCCAGACATTCTGCAAAGGCAAAATATAGTTTTATTACAAATTATTATGCTAAGAAATGGTTATTCTATCTACTGTAAAATGCATTATTAATGTAATTCCCAACAGATTTCAAACCAGAACAACTTAGTCTTACTCCCATTCTGCCTGAAATCCAGATTTATCGAGAAGTAGCCCCATTCAGATAAAACCCTACTTGTTCTCAATTAAACTTTCTCTTCTTGCTGTCATTTCTGCCTGTGTTCCAATTGGGAGGCTGACACTTCTTAATAATGGTCTCAGGAGTTTGTTGGCTTGTGAACAAAAAACCGCCAGCCTCACATGTAAAGCCATCCAATCACTTCTATACACTAGTATTGGAACCACCCTAGCCCCCTTTCCCCGCCATGTGTCCCAGGCTCACCTGTACCTCCTGGGTGCCCAGCACCACCATGGCAATCATCAGGATTGAGACCAACGAAAGATCTCCCTTGTAATGGATGAACCTGGAAATGCTCAGCTCTAAGAACTCCTGAGTTCAGAGCTGTCAATGCCCCAAGCTATTTTTTGATGCAACATCATCTTTTATTTTTTACAAAAGACCGGGTATTATATTATGTTTAAGCGCACTAAATACATTTGATTGTATTTTTTACTGAAAATATAAATTTGATAAATAGTAGAGGAATTATCATCTAACATAAACAATGTAAATGCCAACATTTTTTTTACAGGGTCTTTGCTTTCACAAAATATGTAATGTTTGAGGGTTTAAAGTAATCTTAAGCCATAAAATGTACTTTTTAACTTGTGTGCTAAAAAAAGGCTCTGGCAGTGCAAGGGTTAAAGTACAAAAGCACTCAAATTTTTATTTCTATGGCACTTGCATATTCCCTAGTGCTTTACAAGATACATTGATTTGTTCACATTTGTCCGTAGCCTAGCACATGCAGGACCAGTCTGAGGACCCTACAATATTTATATAAAAGGTGCTTTCTAAAGTTGGCGTAAAAAGAAGAAGAATGTACTAACTTCATTAAGACTGCTCCTCAGTAGGCAGTGGGAAAGCTAGACATTCTGTCACCAAGGGCAAAGGCTCAGAGTTGCCCCCAGGGAGAAGTTCTCCATCCACACACCCAGTGGCACCCCTCCTTAAGCGGAACCCGGGGCACATACCCCCCCAGTCAGTAGGAACTGGAGATAACAACCAAAAAAATGCAACAGCACTAACCATGGAGCTCCCATAATGCCAGGGCAATATATTATACCATAGGCAACACAGGTAGAAATGATATAGTTTCAACAGTAAGTAGATGGAAAAAAAGGCTCCTGTTCATTAAGTTCCCCATTGAAGATGCAAGGGTGGATGAGCGGACTTGGACATAGACATTTTGCATCCAGGGCCATTCATCTGTCCCTATACGGATGTAAATGCTCGAATATGAGTGCATATGCGTACAGTCACAGCCTGTAATACATTTTTACAGGCTGCAAAGCTCAGTATATAGCGGGCTACTGCCAGCTATATACTGAGAGCGCCACAGCCCGGACGGATCCCGACAATGCTGTCAAGATCCACCCAGCTGGCTGATTGACAGCGGGCGTTTCCTATCTAGAGATGGTTGAACTCGATGGACATGTGTCTTTTTTCAACCTGACTAACTCTGTAACTAGAGGCAGAGCCAGCTGTGCCCGCCTCCTCCCCCGTCCGTTCCTCCAGTCAGCGCTGGAGGATCAGAGAGGGGAAGTGGGGAATCCCTGCGTGGAGCGGTGACTGACAGTGAAGATGATCAGGGGCGAGTGACAGTATGCGTTCGCTCACTTCCCGATCAATAGAGCCGACGTGTGACAGTTTCATTGTCACACTTCAACTCTAACTATGAAGATGAGTGTAAATCGCTAAACTCATAGTTCTCCTTTAAGTATGTTTAAATACATTAGACGGCATTCTTACAGCATCATAAAGTGTCCTCAAGAAGTTCAACTCGTCTGTGTACAAGTCCACCTTGATCTCCAAATCTGTTTTGACCATAAATGCAGCATCCACATCCTGAAAAAAACCCACACAGAAATCATTTGCTTTACATGGCAACAAAATCACACCAGAAACACATGCTGGTTTAATCTAGAATACAGAATTTTCAAGTCTACATCTGAAACGTTAGCATGGTTAGGGTGTATCTAAAATAACTTAGGAGACTCTAAAACAGAGGTATTACTTCTCTTTATCTGCAAAGATAGCTTCACTACAGATCATCAGGAACACAGAGTTTAATACCAGAAATCAGTGTTTTATTGTGTAATCAATAGGATGTTATGTAGCAAATATATTTTACCTTTTTAAGCACCACAAATTCATTTTCTGCTGCTGTACGCTTATTAATTTCATCTTCATATCTGCACAGAAAACATAAGTTAACAGTATAAACCCTCTGCCTTTCTTTTTTTATAATATGCAGTTTTACATTTCATGTATGGAAATATAAAAAGGAGAACAAAATACAACTAGAAACATGGCAAATGACAAGTCATACATACTTTTTCTTGTAGTCTTCTACCATTTCTTGCATACCCTTTAGGTCATTATCCAGACGTCCTTTCTCACTCAATAGACTATCAAGCTGCCTATTCAGAATGTTTATAAAATTCTCAAACAGTGGTTCTAAGTTGTTTTTTTTGGAACCACCTTTGCTCCCTTGTTCTTGTAAAAGATGCCATTTTGTCTCTAGTACTTTGTTTTGTTGTTCCAGGAACCTAACCTGTAACCAAAAAAGACAACACAGTACGTTTCTCCAAAGTCCGAGCTTACTAAATAACGAAAAGAAAAGAAAAACTTGAGTTCAAAACAGGAAACAATAGGTGTAAACAACCCTTACCTTGTCGATGAAACTTGCAAATTTGTTGTTCAGGGTTTTGATCTGTTCTCTTTCTTCAGTTTTCACTTTTTGGATGTTTGGATCTATTTCCACATTTAGTGGTTTCAAAAGGCTTTGGTTTATGCTCACTTGCTGGATGCCACCAGGAGGACACACGGGGAAGCCAGGGTCTCCTCCTTGTCCTCCTCCATATCCTCCTGCACCTCCACCAAAGCCTACTCCACCACCAAATCCTGAACCACCACCACCATATCCTCCTGCGCCACCACCATGTCCTCCTGCACCACCACCATGTCCTCCTGCACCACCACCATGTCCTCCTGCGCCACCACCATATCCTCCTGAACCACCACCATATCCTCCTGCGCCACCACCAAATCCTCCTGAACCACCAAATGCTCCTCCACCATAGCTAGACCCAACACGAACAGATGAAGCAACTGAGGTTCTCTTTCGTCCACCAAGGCATTGGGCGTTATGAAGACTTTGTGATGCAAAGCTTGAAGAACGGGAGCCACCTGATCTTCCTCCACCAAGTGAACAGACGCTAAAGCCTCTGCTGCCTCCACCACCACTTTGCATTTGCTTAAGGTTGCTCATAATGGCTTTTAAAGGATGAAGTTTGAAGGAAACTAAAAAGAAGCAGATAAGACGAAGGAGACTTGGACCCCTTTGCACTGAGAGACAAAAGCCTTCCTTTTTATCTGTTTGAAAAAGTTGGGCTTGGTTGCATAGGTGTCAGGAGGCCAGCTTAATGCAATAGTGGGTTTGGCAAACCTGGCAGCCACCCATCAACTGCTAAACTGATCACACCTATGGGAAATATTGTTTAGTTTGCAATGCTCAGTTTATATAATCTAAATCAGTGAACCTGTTTGAGGAGATGTTAATAGATCAAGAGCTTCTGTATATAAATTACATTGTGTTCTATATTCTACCAGTGTGCTTTAAACCCTTTGGGGATTTTGTTGAAGAATCAGCTTGTACTAGAGTTTATTGATATTATCAGTGCATGACACTTCACAAAATTAGTTTTAGGTACTGTACAAATACTGGTGACATTGATGAATATTCTGCAGTCAAGCCTGAATTTAAAGAGACTCTGTCAGTTAGCCCATGCAGAGTTTCTTGAAAGCCCACATTTTGTGACCCACGTATACCAACCTTTCCTTTTTCCTCTCAGAGTTGGAAGTCAAATCCAGTAAGCTTCATATTGGATGTCCTCTGGCCTTTGACTGGCTTGATTATCTCATCATCCTCCTCGTAATGGTTTTTGGCCTGGAAATTGGCCACCCAGACCCAAGCATTACATCAATGGAAGAAGTCACATTATCCACCAAGCACCATGTATTTGAGGAGGCTCCAACAGAACAAGAGGGGGTGGGGGAGCACTGCAAATGAGGAGACTGGAAGGGGAGACTGGTAAGAAACACTTTCCCTTTATTGGCAAAAGTAACAGAGGCTATAGCTGGTTTGTGGTGTCCTCACAACTTTAATAAAATCATAGGAAAAGCACATAACTGGGATATTTTTGGCAACTTGAGGACCAGCACATTGTTTAAATGGGTGAACACCACTGTGACATTAAAAAGAATGACAAAATAAAGTTTGCATTCATTTCAAAAACAGTTTTTGCCTACAAGTTAATGCCATTGTTATGTGTACTGGGTATCATTATTTAAAATAAGCATGGCACTGTATTAATTAACATACCAAGGAAAATGCAGGTAGTCAGGATAATAGGGATGCACCGATATATCGGCCGCCGAAAATGGCACTTTTGGCTGAATGCCGAAAGTGCAATTTTTGTGCCGATACATCGGCGCATCTGTGCTTTCTTTCCTCCCTGCTGAGCGCTGCTCTGTGTCCCAGCAGCGAGGAGAGAAACTGTCAAAGGCGGCCGAGCGCTGCGGGAGGAGAGCGCTGTTAGCTGCCGGCGTCTCTCCTCCCACACCACTCAGCCTAATGTCACAGTCCAGCAGAGCAGTGTAGGGGCGGAGACAGCCTGCACTGTCACAGGAGGCTGAGCTCTCCTCTCCGCTCGCTCAGCCTCCTGTGACAGCGTGTCAGAGAGGAGAGCGGGTACAAGCAGTCAGTGATCAATGATCGCTGAGTGTTTGTAGATAATTGAGGACAGAGTATGTTTACTATATCCTCAATTATGAATGAATGGGAAGTGATCTACATCACTTCCTGTTCATTCATGATTGTGGTTATAGTAAACACACAATGTCCTCATGTTATCAATGAACAGGAACACTCATAGACGATTCCTGTTCATTGATAACAGGAGCTGCAGAAAAAGACATTGAGGACTTTGTGTCCTCAATCTTTTTTTTATTTTAAAAGGGAAATATCAGGGGCCTGTTTAGACCCCTAATATTCCCCAAAGCCCCTAAAAGTAAAGTTACAAATATTTAATAAAAAATGAAGTAATAAATAAAAATGAATATAAAAAAATGTAAAAGTTTATAAAAGATAAATAAAAATAAAATATTTAAAACATTAAAAAAATTAAAATAAAAAAACATTTTCGGTTTTGGCCTGACAAGTTTTTTATTTCTGTTTCGTTTCGGTTTTGAAATTTTCATTTCTGTGCACCTCTACTGGATAGTGATGGGAAAACAACTGACAAGATGCAATTTCAAGTTTGGTAATGGTCCTGAATATTCGTTTCTCATTTTCTTGAACTCTGTCCAGCAATGGGAGATCCAGATTTCGGATGTTATCATGGAAGTGTGTGTGTTTGGGTAAGGGGGGGTTTGTACATGCATTTTCCTGACCTTTTCCTGACTATTTGAGCGCATTGTCTATTCTACATGTTATGTGAGCTTGAAAAAAAGTGTGCTCAAAACATTGCTCTGATGATGATGTATATGCAACATTACGATAAATACAGATGTTAACAGAAAAATTAGTAGTGCTGCATTACATTTTCCTTTTCATGCTGCATCAAATATACAGTATATATTGTGTGTGTGTTTTTGTGTAAACACCTTTTTTCTTTTACCCTTTTTAGAGGAGGAAGATAGTAGAGAGACCTGTATGTTTACTTCTAGCTGCCGATATCTCAGAGCACCCTAGTCTCTGATTATTAAATAATTATGTTCCCTAGCTGCATCCTATTAGCATTTAATGTGCTATGGGAGGTATTATGAAACCTGATTAGCAAATCTTCTGGGAACCAACAACTAAATTGCTTACAAGAGATTATTTGAAATTTCTGCTGAGATAAGCAATTTACTAGAGAGAAAGTACACTGGTGGCTTCAGTAGGTCAAAAAACAGCAAATAAAAAAAGAAGGACACCACGACCACACCACCCTGACCATCCCTGGAAGTTCCCTCGGCAGCTTAGTGAATAGACCCTTTAGTGTTGGCCGTGCTTTCACACTGTAACCCTTCGACTTAGTTCACACCATAGGCAGTGCGTTCTGGTCCGATTCTGGCCGGAACGCACTGCATCGCATTGCGGCCGCCTCACTTTTTTGCCAGGCTGGAGGGGGCATGGTGGGCCATTGAAGTGAATTATAGGGTATTTCATATGTCTGGGATTCCAGTTTATTTGGGAAGTTATAGGTCACAAAATACAATTTTAATGTGGAACAATTTTAGAATGTTGTATGTTTGTATCCTAACTTTAATAGCCTCTGCAGCACTATATTTTCTTATAATTTTTTTATTAAACATATTATTATTTTTTACTTTTTTTAACCACTTAAAGATCAGGTGTTTACACCCCCTTCCTGTCCAAGCCATTTTTCAGTATTCAGCACTGCAGTACTTTGACTGACATTTATTCCGTCACGCAACGTTGTACTGAAATGAATTTTATACCATTTTTGAGGGACAGATAGAACTTTCTTTTGGTGGTATTTAATCACCACTGGGGGTTTTATTTTTTACTATATAAGGAAAAAAGAAAATTTCGAAAAAAAACTGTTATCCCTATGTTATGTTAAAAAACATTTATTCTTACCCATATTTTTGGCAAAATATAAAAGACGGGGTCACATCGGGTAAATAGACACCAAACATGTCAAGCTTTAAAATTGTGTGCGCCTGCGAAATCACAATAAAATACTATACCCAATATATAGCTTTATGAGCTTTTACCACTCATCAATTTAGTGCTATCAGTTATTAATGACCCTAAAATGATTTCCCTAATGGGTGCAATCGTCCTTTTTTGCACGTATGCGCACCCGACGCATGTTTGCGCGCGTGTATGTGGGGTTGGGACTTTTTTAAACATTTGGGGGGCTAAGAATCCTCCAGAGATCTGCTTCACCAGCTGGAGGTTCTGTAGCCGGAGAGTGACAGCAGAATGCGGAAGTGGTGTAATATATATCACTTCCGCATTCTGACACCGGAGAGGAGCTCGGAGGGACATCATATACTGATCTCCCTCTGATCTCATGTCAGAAAGCTGCAGTGCTGGTCCCTGCCCGCCCTGGGCACAGCGGTGCTCGGGACTAGTGCTGCGGAGGGGGGGCGGCACATGATCGGCACCTCATACAAGCGATCCGTCGGCTCTATAGCCGGTGGATTGCTTGTATGGAAACAGGCATTGCTGCCTGTTTTTAAATTATGACAGTTTCCTGCTCCTTATCTTTGCTGACTACTCCGCAGATGTCACTAGAAAGCAAAAAGCCTTTCAAAAAGCCCGTGCCACCCTTTTCCATAAGAAAATCAGATTTACCATGGCCTACCCAGCTGCCATTAGATTCCAGACCCGCAATGGATAACATTCTTTTCAAAATGCAGCATCAGCCTCCACCTTCTTGGAACGCTTGGAACAGGAGGCAGATGATCCCGGGGACCACCTGTTGGCAACTGAAGAAAACTTCCCTCCATCAAACAGGTGTCATCCCGGTTAGCTACACCTACTACCGCTTTACGCTGACACCACTACTGGGATAGCTGCATTGCCTACACTCCTCCAAAACTATCCTTGAGGTGCATGGTAGATAAGTACTTCAATCCTTGACTGATGCCTTCCAGGCATTTATCTTTTGAAGAAGATTTTGCTGTTACGGTCTCTATCTTTGTGCCTTACCTTCTAATTCCACTTTATATTGGGAGGTAGCCAAAGCCTTTCTCAGGGGCAATATCATCTCATTTATCTCCACAGAAAAGAGACGTTTGAGATCTCTTTTCATGACAGCCAGCAAATCTTTAAGATCTGCACAGAGTAAGCTCGCAGATGATCCCTCCCAGCAACATAAGGAAGAATGGTTGAAATCAAAGCAACAATTTGGTTGGTGGTCTATCCAACAATACCTTTACTTTCAGAAACAGGTTACCCTTAAATACCATAAATTTGGAAATAAGGTGGGTAAATTGTTAGCAAATCTAACAAAACAAGAGTTCTCTAATTCCTCTATTCCATTGCTTTGGCATCAATCTGGAGGTTTACCTCATGGCCCCAGCAAATTAATGTTGCTGGAACAATATTATAGACAGCTCTATTCTGCAATGTCCACAGACGCTGTGGCGGGCCAGTCTTTTCTATAGTCCACTCTCCTCCATACAGTTCCACCTGACCTTCTCCTGCAACTTATTGCCGATATCACAGAGGAAAAGATATCTTGAGCCATTATTCATACTTCCAATGGTAAATTCCCAGGACCCGATGGATACACTATAGAATTGTATAAATTGTTGCGTCCACGACTCTTGAACACCCTTCACAATTGTTTCA